CCATTCACTGCATGAAAACTTCAAGACTCTCTCTCCCTCTGACTGTCTCTCTCTGTATATCTACATAGTTAAACTCTACTGGCACGTCTGTTTTGGCTCATATCCCAACTCATTCCCCAAAGTTATCAATCCCAAGTCAAGGGGTCTGGCAGAAACCCTGTGAACAATGACTGGTACAGACTACTTGTGTCCCCTCAAAATATGTGTGGAAGTCCTAACCTTTGCACCTGTAAATATGACCCTGTTTAGAAACTGGGGGTTTCTTTTCTTATGCTAATGGGGTTATACCAGCATAGGGTGGGTCCTAAATCTAATCACTTCTAAGTGATGTCTTATAACAAAAGCAGAATAGACAGAGAGACACGCACACGGGGGAAGACAGATGTCATGTGAGGATCATCTACAAGCAAAGGAATGCCAAGGATAGCCAGCAGTCACCAGAAACTAGGAGAGGCTGTCTTAGTCATCTAGTGCTACTGTAACAGAAATACCACAAGTGGATGGCTTTAGAAACAAATTTATTCTCTCTCAGTCTAGAAGGCTAGAAGTCCAAATTCAGGACGCCAGCTCCAGGGGAAGGCTTTCTCTCTCTGTCAGCTCTGGAGGAAGGGCCTCGTCATCGATCCTCCACTAGACTAGGAGCTTCTCACTGCAGGGACCCCAGTCCAAGGGATGCACTCTGCTCCTGGCACTACTTTCTTGGTGGTATGAGGTCCCCCTGTGTGTCTGCTCGCTTCTTTCATATCTCAAAAGAGACTGACTTAAGACACAACCTAATTTTGTAGACTGAGTCCTGCTTCATTAACTTAACTGCTCTAATCCCACCTCATAAACATCACAGAGGTAGGATTTACAACACACAGGAAAATCATATCAGATGACAAAATGGTGGACAATCACGGGATACTAGGAATCATGGCCTAGCCAAGTTGACACACATTTTTGGGGGACACAATTCAATCCATCACAGAGGCCTATAGAAGGAATCGACACAGCCAGGACCTGATTTGGACATTTCGCCTCCAGACTGTGAGGAACAAACTTCTGTTCTTTACAGTCACCCACGTGTGGTATTTCTGTTACAGCGGCACGGGGAGACTAAGGCAATGACCACCCATGGCTTCTCCCCTCAGAGCCAAGCTGGCTAATGGAACCAGAGAACCATGTTTCTGTGCAAGGTACGGCCTCCTGCGGCGATGCCTCCCCACCCACACCTGGGCGAACGCCTACCACGTACTAGGGCTTTGATGTTCCCCTTCCCTTTGAGGTTTAAGACTGCAGAATGGCTCCCAGACCCGTTAGCTCCAGAGGCAAAGGAAGGGGAACTGGTCACATACTTCTTGACCCTGAACCTTCTGTCCTGCTCCCAACTGTCTTTAGTTTGTAACTTTCCCTATCGCCACTGAAATACCCTGCGAGAACATCTTTGTCGTCCTGAACTCCTTCTAGCCTGAAGGGCTTCCGTAAAGCTCCACTAGCTTGTCACATCGCCTCCCTTCCACAGAGGTGAACCTGGGGACATCAGGCAAGACCCGAGTCCAGCCTCTGCGCCCTGCAAAATGCTGGCAGTGGTGGTGTTTCCTCCCCCTGACGATGGGGGCTGCAGCCTTCTGGGCCGAGAAGGACAGGGGCTTTGGCCCCTAACATTGTTCCTAACTGCCCTCTAGCCCTAAATCCCTTCAGAGGATTAAACCCCAACCCCAGAACAAGTATAATTATCCACCTTCCAAGGAAACAAGGCAACTGGTCCCCCAGCCTCTCTTCGCAGGCAAGTAAACCCTGGAAAACCCACGAGCTTTGGGACCAGACAGGCCAGGATCAAATCCCAGCTCAGCAGCTTTATTCTGCGGCAGTTTCCCTACCATGCGCTGACTTGGTTTCCCAATCTGTAAACGGGGATACTAACACCTACCTCCTGAGATGTCTGTGAAAAGCAAATGATCAAACCCACTGCCATCAAGTTAATTCCAACTCATAGTGCCCCTATAGGGTTCCCAAGGCTGTAAACCTCTATGGAAGCAGACTGCCACATCTTTCTCCTGCAGAGCCACTGGTGGTTTTGAACCGATGACCTTCCGGTCAGTAGTCGATCACTTTAACCACTGCGCCACCAGGGCTCCTTTATAAGTCACTGGGGAAATGCAAATCAACACCACAATGAGATACAACTTCACACCTACTAGGATGGCTATCAAAAAAGAGAAAAAAAAAACAAATGTTGGTAAAGACATAGAGAAACTGGTATCCTTGCTGGTAAGAATGTAAAATGGTACATCCGCTGTGGAAAATAATTTGGCAGTGCCTCAAAAAATTAACATAAAAGTATCATATGACCCTATAATTCCACTCCTAGATATATACCCCGAAGTGTAGACACCAAAGATTTTAATAGATATTTGCACAGGAGTGTTCACAGCAGCACTGTTTACCACAGCCAGAAGGTGGAAACAACCCGTATCCATCAACAGATGAACGGCTAAACCAAACGTGGCCTTATCCACATACTGGGGTACTCCTCAGCCACGAAGAGAAATGAAATCTTGACGCGTGCTATGACATGGATGAACCCTGAAAACACCACGTTAAATGAAATAAGCCAGACACAAAAGGCCCCCGTTTGTATCCAGTGTCTAGAACAGGCAAACTCACTGATACAGAAAGGAGAGCTTACCAGGGGCTGGGGGAGGGGAGAGTGGGGAGTTATTGCTTAAGGGGCAGAGTTTCTGTTTGGAATGACGAAAAAATTTTGGAAATAAAATGTTAATGGCTGCAAACACTGTGAATATAATTAATACCATCGAACCGTACACTTCAAAATGGTTAACTGCACAGTTTATGTTATATATGTATTTTATTGCCAAAAAAAAAAAACCCTCCCTTAAAAAACATTCAAACTGGTGACTCCCCTTCGGAACCCTAGCACTGGGACCCGCATTTATTCCTGACACCCCCAGTTCTCATCTCAGTCTGACAACTAAGGTCCACCAGATCAGCCCTGACCCAGCATTACTTGGCCATTAAATTTTAAACACATCTTAAAATCCCGAAGTGTAAAGGGCATAATTCTGACGGACAGAATCCAATCCCTCCTTCCTAAGAAAAACAAGGTTTGAAAACTGTGGTAAATACAAGAGCAATCGAGGGGAGGGAAAAGAGTATCCGTCCCTTTGTTAATTTCCGAATCTATGGCTCCAGTAACACACACAGAGCCAGACAGACACAGCCTACCTGCAATGCAGGGACCAGGGTTCCGCCTGTCACCTGCTTACCTTCTCCTTCTTCTTTTAACGGCCAAGATTCACAGGGCCTTCAAGAGCCCTCAGAGACCCCCTTGCTCATTTCGGAGAAGAGGAATCCAAAGGCCCAGAGAGTTTAAGTGACTTCTCCGAAGTTGCACAGCTAGTTAACAACACACAGTTAAGCAACTTCCACCTGGTGGTTAAGCCCAGCAGACAGGCAACTCACGAGAGCTTAGTTAAGGGAGCACCACACTGCCAAGCTGTACTTCATACAGTCTTGGCAGGGTCTCTGCGTGGTGCAAGCAGCTAATGCACCCACTGCTAACTGAAAGGTTGAGGGTTCAAGTCACCCAGAAGTACCTTGGAACAAAGGACTGGTGAGCTACTTTCAAAAAATCAGCCACTGAAAACCCTGTGGAGCACAGTTCTACTCTGACACACAGGGGGTCACCATAAGTGGGAGGTGACTCGATGGTAACTAGTGGGTTGGGTGGTTAGCAGGGACTGAAGACATTCTGTGATTCTCAGTACATGGAACTCCCAGAAGCAACAGGAAGCCACAGGTCTCTGGTGGACTTCTTAGCGCTCAATGCTGCCCAGGGGAAGCTTCTCGGAGACAGATATGTTTTATATCTGCATTGTCCAATATGGTGATGTCTAGCCATGCATGGCTACTGACAGCTTGAAATGTGGCTAGTGCAACTGAGGAACTGAATATTTTAATTTTATTTCACTATAATTAATATAAGAAGCCCTGGTGGTGCAGTGGTTAGGTGCTTGGTTGCTAACCAAAAAGCTGGCGGCTTGAACTCACCAGCTACTCTGAGAGAAAAGAGGTGACTGTCTGCTTCCATAAAGATTACTGCTTCGGAAACCCTATGGCGCAGTTCTGCTCTGTCCTATAGGGTTGTTATCAGTCGGGATCCACTCGACACCAATGGGTTTGGTTTGGGTAATTCACATAAATTCAGAATGCCATGCGTGGCCAGCGGTGTCCATACTGGAAGGTCCAAACCTAGAACACTGTGATTTGAGGGGTAATCTGGAGACCCACGCAGTAAACACAGTGCACCCTGCAGGCCAATGGACTGATTCAGACACCAGTTCTCTACCCCTGGCCAGTCACTTTAAACTTCCTGCATCTCAGTTTTGACAAGTGTACGAAGGGGTGCTGTTTTCTCACAGGGTCACCCGGAGAATGAGGTCAATGAATCAGTACACACAAAGTCCCTCGGATGAGGCAGTGCTGGCTCAGGGGGAGAATTCTTGCCTTCCGTGTGGGAGACCCTGCTTCGATTCCTGGCCAATGCAACTCAAGCATAGCCACCACCTGGCTGGCAGTGGAGGCTGGCATGTTGCTGTGATGCTGAACAGGTTTCAGCAGAGCTTCCAGACTAAGACGGGCTAGGAAGAAAGGCCGGGTGATCTACTTCTGAAAATCAGCCAATGAAAACTCTGCGGATCACAACAGTATGATCCACAAGGGATCACGGGGATGGCGCAGGACCAGGCAGTGAGTTTATGTCAATGAGGGAGGAACAATTTGGAAAAGAAGGGTGAGAATGCTGGCAGAACTCGAAGAATGTAATCAACGTTATTGAGTTGGACAGGTGGTAATTGTTAAATCTGGTGTATGTTTTACCACCAAGAAAAGCCTCCAGGCTGTAAATGCCATATGTGCCCCAATCAGTCCCCAGACTCTGGTTTTGTGGACGCAGCCCTGACCCTCCCCCCGGCCCAGCCCAGCCCCCCCCCCGTCACCTGGGGCCGCAGTGGTGGGGGTGCTGGCGGGCACAGGCGGCTGCGAGGAGCCACTGCTCTCGGTCATCAGGCACGGGTTGCTGCCACTGTTCTCTCTCTTGACCAGCAGCTCGGCCGCGCTGGGCAGCGGGATGGGGTGGCTGATCCCCAGCTCCTCCTCCTGGGCTTGCTGCCTCCTCAGGGCCACCTGGAAGCACAGGGCGGCAGTCACCCTCCAGCACTGCAGGATCACTTGTGCAGCTTTCCAAAACCACAGCAGCCCCCACCCACCCCCGGGTCACAAGTCACAGGCTCCGGGGCAGAGGTCTGGGAATTTCTAAAAACTGTTTAAACTGTCAGGTAACCGTTAGCTTTCCCCGATAGAGCATCTGGCCTGCAGTAGTGCTCAAATAATGTTTGTGGCCCAAAAGAACTGAAAGCAGGGACTCAAACAGGTACCTGTACACCAAGTGTTCACGCAGTACTATTCACATTAGCCGAAAGGTGGAAACAACCTAAGTGTCCATCAACAGATGGACGGATCAAACACCATGTGGTCTATCAGACGATACAATATTAGTCAGCCATAGAGACAAACAAGGTCCTGATACGTGCTACGAACACGCTGAGTGGAACAAGTCAGTCACCCAAGGACAAATACTATATGATCCCATTTATATGCAACATCTAGAGGAGACAAACGCATAAACACCACATCTTCTTAGTGGCTACCAAGGGCAGGCAGGAGGGAAGGGAAAGGAAGACACAACCCTCAGGGGACACTGAGCTTTTGTTAAGCGTGATGACAAGGTTCAGGACTGGTTAATGGTGATGGCTGAACACCATGATGAACATATTTAATGAACAGTACATGAAAGCTTGTTGAAATGGCTTGTCACCTATATAATTACCACAATAAATATATTTTAAAAACATTATACTGAATGAAATTAGCCAGACACGAAAGGACACACATTGTATGATCTCAGTTACATGAAATTCCTACAACAGGCAAATGCGCAGAGACCAAAGTGTATCAGTGGTTAGGAGGGGCAGGTGGCTGGGGGCAGCAGAGGGTACTGCTTAAGGGGTACAGAGTTTCTGTGCAGGGTGATGAAAAAATTTGGAAATGGATAGTAGTGATGGTCGCACATGGTGGACGTAATTAATGTCACTGAATTGTACCCATAAAAATGGCTGAAATGGCAAATGTTTGTCATATATGTTTCACCAGAATAAAAAATTTTTTTTTTAAGTTTGTTAAATGAAATGAGTGTGTCGAGTAACAGGATGTCAGTTTGGCCAGGGAAGATTAGGAAATATGTACAGTCAGCCAAGAGTTCAATCTGAAAAGCAGAAAAAGGCAGAAGCAGTGATAGACCAGGAAGGAAGGAGAATGGGACCACTCACTCCTTTTTTCCGCTCCACAATATGTAAAAAGCCTCTGTACCGGGCACAGCAACCAGTAAGATACGGCAAGATTCGGTTAGATCCTGAGGTACCAACTGCTGGAAAGCAACTATAAGGCACGGCTAACTGTGATAAACAAGCAGTCCTACAGAAGACATTCAGAGGCAGAAAGTTCTTCAACACGTCAGAGTCAGCCAGAGAGATGGTGTCTGACAGGGTCTTGAAGAAGAGGACGAGCAGGACTTGGAAAGGCAAGTCCATGATGAACAGAGAACAAGCCGGAAAATGGAAACAGGGTGGGCAGGAGAAGCAGAGGCTGTTTAGGCTACTGTGCAGAGCTGTCTCCTTGGATGGAGGCAGCATGTGGGGGAAGTAATGGGGGAAGAGGCTGGAAGCTGATGTCTGGGAAAAGTTACCGGAAGAGGGAGAGCCTGGAAGTGGGAAGCAGCCAGAGGACTGGGTGTATGAGGCAGGGTGAGCCCACACTGGGAACTAGAAAGGCCGTAACACCCCTAAGAAACCCTTCATGGGCCCTCTTCAATTTCTCTCCTCTTAAATGATACTGTTAACGGTTTTTTTTTTTTTTTGGCGGGGGTGGGGGTAAAAAAAAAGGTTTATAAGAAAGAAAATATTGTTCGCTTACTACTTAATAATAAAAAAGAGGCTTGATGAAATTGACTATTGGTGATAATGAAGTAAGAAAATAAAGTATCTATGTCTCAGAGGCCCAAGTACAAGTCAAAAGTTGACAATAAAATGGTAAATCACTTCACACTCACTAAAATAACTATAATTTAAAAAAAAAAAAACACCAGAAAACAACAGGTATTACAAGGATGTGGAGAAACTGATATCCCCATCCAAATTTTCATCCAACTTTTAGCTGGTGGGATTGTAAAATGGTGCAGCCCTTATGGAAAACAGTTGGCAGTTCTTCAAAAAGCTAAACATAGAACTACCATATGATCCAGCAATTCCACTCCTAGGTATATACCCAAGAATTGAAAGCAGGGATTCCAACAGATACTTGTATACCAACGTTCACTGCAGCACTACTCACAATAGCCAAAAGGTGGAAACAACCTAAATACCCATCAACAGATGAATGGATTGGATAAAAGAAACGGTTCATTATGGAATATTACTCAGCCATTAAGAGAACAGAATTCTAACACACGCTACAACATGGATTAACCTTGAAAACATCATGCTAAGTGCCATCAGTCAGTCACAAAAGGACAAACAGCGTGTGATCCCACTCACATGAAATATCTAGAAAGGCAAGTGTACAGAAATCAAAGTTTATCAGTGGTTATCAGAGCCAGGTGGGTAGGCAGGGAAAAGGAGAACTCACGGCTTAGGGGACACTGAGCTTCTGTTAGCGGGGATAGAAAAACATCTGGGCGTGGATAATGGTGATGGATAAGAAGCATGATGAACATAATTAGTGCCACTGAATTATACATGTGACGACTGTTGAAATGGCGAATGTTTATTATTAGAGATATATTTACCACAATAAAATAAAAAAATTCATCACACGCACAATCACAACTCATACACTGTTTTAGCAAATCTGTGGTTTAAACTTAGAAAGCTGATTAATGTGGAATTAACTTTACTCCTAACAAAAGTAGTTTTCAATTTAGAAAAACTAATCTTAAATAATCAATTATTTAAGGTTAAATAATTAAAGTCTTGGACTTTCTATTAGTAACCAAGAGGCTTCGAGACAGAATATTAAGGGTTTGACCAATAATAATAATTAATTAATGAAAAACCTCTTAAGTATGTTATTGCATACTTATACCCAGATTTACACAAACCTCATTCATACAAAAAATGCACAGGGTATCAAATACTGCATATGCCAACGACACTTTTACAAAAAACACCTCCTCTCCAGGATTTTTCTTTAGAAAATATTATTTGAGAAGGGGGTGAATTGATTAAAAATGCAATTATTTCAGAATCATCTCTAAAAGGAATTGCAAAGTATTTTAGAATGACCAAAAATTGTTTTGACACGGATTTTTACGAATGTATCTACCACAGCACAAGCCTTCAGATGTGGAAAATACTGAAATTTCATACTCTTAATGTAATCCTGTTACTTTTGTCCTTAACATAGCAAACAGCCTTATTCAAAATTGGCACCTCTAGTCTGATGTTTTTGTTGAATGTTGAGCGAATTGCCACCCTCGAACATACCCAACGACTAAATGTCCAGAATATTTTTCTAGCTACAAATATAATTTAAATATCCATAACTGTTTTCAGTAAGCTCATTGTGGTGCATCGTAAGGCTACACACAGTACATTCTTTTCATCCACTACCGTTCAAGCTAAAAGTCTATAAAGAAACCAAGAAAACAACTATATTTTCATGTCTGCACTTCTAAGCTGCGAAGCCAAAATAAATCTAGTTTAAAACACATTTTTAAAACCTTGAGGTACATAAAAACTCCACCCTCTTTAACGCCAAGGCTTCGTGCAGTCTCGTTGTCTGCGTTCTTATCTAAAACATTTCCTATGGAGGATATTTACACCTTCCTAATCAAAAGTAGCACATGCTTAGTAAACATTTCTTTGGTATCTTTTCATTTTAAATAACCTGTTTGAAAAAAATGAAACAACTTTTAGCTGGAAAGAATGTATTTATTCGCTTCTAAAAATCCTAGTAGGATTACCCACGGGGTTAACTATTTCCGTTAACATGTTGAATTACTAACTTGCTTTATGAAATGGTTTTATTTTTAACTAAAAAAGATAAAGCCTCAAACCCGCGCCTACTCCTCCCGCCCCTTCGCATATACTTTAAAACTCTTCAGTACGCTTTAAAATATAATTCACACTTAAATAACTTACGTCCAGACCGCAAAAGTAAAACTTAAAAAAGCTAATAAAATTTCCAGCTCAAAATGGCTGAGGCGCCGGCCGACCCCCTGGTCAACACCAAAAGGGCGCCAACGCCGCGCCGGCGTCCATTGCATGGACTTTTCCAGAAAAACGACCAAGGCGGCTCCCAACCGTGAACTGGCGAAAGGCAGCCCCGCGGAGTCCCCGTTCACCGAACCCAAGAGCGCGGGGAGGGGCACCCCAAGAGGTTCTGTGCGGGGCGGGATCAGGGAGCCCCGGGAGGAGCGAACCCTCCCCCCAGCAGGAAGAGCCCCTCATCTCCGCTTGGCCGGCAGAGGCGGAGATGTCGAGGACCCTCGAGCAGTGTAAGCTCCGCAATCCTCTGCTCGGCGGAACCGGAGACCCTCGAGCTGGGCGAACCCTGCCACTCTGCTGGAGGATGGGAACAGGGGTCCGGGGACCCTGAGAGAAGAGAACCTTCAACTTCCTGCTCCGCAGGCGAGGCCAGAGATCCTGGGGAGCCCTCCCCCCACCTTCCGCCCGGTGGAGAAAGCCTCTACTGGGGACCGGGCGAGCGACTCCGGAGACGCCAAAAGGGGCGACCTCCGCAGCTCGCTCTCAGCGCGCAGCTCGGAGAAAGCAGGAGCCTCAGCGCGCAGGATGGGGCGCTGCTGGGAGCAGGGCCAAGCATCACGCGGCCGTCGGGGTGCCGCCGGGGGACCTCGCCCAGCGCCCGGGGCTGCACCCGGCCGTTGGGGTCGTCGGGGAGCCTCGCCCAGCAACCAGGACTGTACCCAGCAGTCGGGGGTCCCGCGCGCCACCCGGAGGGACCTCGCCCAGAACCCGGGGGTGCCCGGACCGGCACTCACCTGCGCGGCCATCACGCGCTGCCTTTCGGCGATCAGGTTGCACTTCTTGCACTGGCAGTCCCGCCACATGCAGAAGCGCTTGTGGCCCTTTAGCGGCGACGCGTAGCCGTGGTTCCTACAGCGCGCGCACTTGGGCAGCCGCGGGGACTTCTTGCCCGCCGCCCCGGAGCCAGCACCGCCGCCGCCCCCGGCGCCCGCCGCCCCCAGCAGCGGCCCGGCCGCCTTGCCGAAGCCCCCGGCCTTGCCCTGCGGCGCGGGTCCCGGGGCGTGCGGGGCCTCCGCCGGGGCTGGGGGCTTGCTGAAGGCGTCGTCGTTGGGCATGGTGGCCTGAGGAGAAGCGGAGGGACCTCCGGCCGCCTCTCCGGCCCGGAGACGGCTGCAACGGCAGCACCCGACTGACGGCGAGGCCGCGAGGAGGAGGTGCGGGAGGCGTGTGCGTCGCAGCCGGAGGTGCAGCCCGAGTGGCGAGTCGGGACACGCAACGCCCAGAGGAGTGGGGGGTTGTACCCTTTTTTTTTTTTCTTTTTGGCGCGCCCGCCGCGCAGAACTTTTGGATACTTTTCAGAACGTTCCTGGGACAGAAAGGGCAAGGGAGGGCGCGAGGAGCGCGGCCCCGCCTCCCGTCCCCCAACTCCAGCAGCTGAGCTCCCGCCGCTTGCATGCATGCACGGCTGCAAGCACCCTGAGCGCTGCTGCAGGGCAGCTGCAAGCGCGCAGAGGAGTGCGAAGCGGCCCGGGGATGGGGTGACCCAGCTCCCTCCGCGGTGCCCAGGCGGGCTGCCAGAGCTCGTGCACCGAGGTAGCTGGGCCCCCTGGGTCATGCAGCTCACAGGAGGTGCAGACCGCCCTGTGAGGTCCTTGAGCTCCCCTCCCCGCCCCCCACCCCCAGCACCTTCTCCACGTTCGATGGTGCAGACCCCACCAGCTCGGAAGCCGGTTTTGCATGAGGCTAAGAACCTGGGAAGAGAGAAGGTTCTGCAGTTCCATCAGCAAATAAGACCCTCAGTGTAGGGGGCTCAAGCGCGCCAAACATGTCCAAGTGTGGGCCTTTCTGTTCTCCAATGACCCCTTCCTGCCTGGTGGTCGTTTGCTCATAAGACTTCCACCTCCTGGCTGCAGGTAACTTTCGGGTCTAAGGTTCCAGCGCTCGCTGCTTCTCGCCTCCAGTCCCTATGGCTTCTTGCCTTTCATGCCGCTCACTTAGGCTCTGCAGAGAGGTGAAACAGCATTTAAAAAACTTGTATGGGGGGGGCGGGGAGTAGATACATAGATGTAGACATTTATCAAAACTCATTCTGCACTTAAGGTCTGTGCATTCTACTGTATGTAATTATGCCTCCAAACAAACCAACAAAGCCACAACCATCGTCCAGTCTTCCCCAGGATTCCTATCTATAATCCCCCGTCCCCACCCCCACCCCTCATGCTCAGCATTTCCAAGGCAAATCTATCCCGAAGGCCTGCCCATGGTTTCTTCCTACGCCCCCACGTGTCCCCTAAGGCCAGCCCTCACCTCCTCTCTGAATCTCTGCAGCGACTGCCACTTGGTCTCTGCTTCTCTGCTCGTATCCTTCCGGTACCTTCCACGCACACATCAGCCAGACCCTGAAGTGGCTTGGTATTGCTTTCCGTATGAAAACCAGATGATACAGACCTCGGCTGGGTCCTCAAGCACTTCGAACGGTGTCCCTCCGCATTTCTTGGCCTCACAGGGTTACCTACCAACCAGCCTGCGTGAGTTCTCTGTTGGTTCTTTACCCGTGTCTCTGCTCAGTGCCACTTCCCCCCACCCCACCCCGACTGTCCTGCTGAGGCTGCTGCTAACCCCTTACCTCACTCTCCCAGCTTTTCATCAGTGTTAGTATTCAGGCTCCAAATTCTGGGCCCCAACCCTAGGGGCTAGGTCTCCAAAGCAGCACACTCATCCCACTTAGCTTCTCATCAAACGGTGATCCTGAGGCAGTCTCTTCCAGCAGGTTAGCACCCAAATCCTTTAATCTGCCTTTCCCATTCTTATCCTCTCAGGCCCCTCCCCTAGGTCCTTTCCCTCAGTCTGGATTTTCTCCATCAGTGCTCTTGCTCTGAAACATTATTTCCTAGAGAAGTTTCTAGGAGCCCCTGAGGGGTGCAAACAGTTAAGTGCTCGACTACTAACTGAAAGGTTGGCAGTTAGAATCCGCCCAGAGGCACTGCGGAAGAAAGGCCTGGTGATCTGCTTCCAAAAGGTCACAGCCTTGAAAACACTATGGAGCAAGGTCTTACTCTGCAACACGTGAGGTCGCCGTGAGCCAAGGCAACTGGTTAATTAGTTAGTTAAAGATGTTTCTAGCTTTATACGATACCTCATATCCTACCCATGAGGACAGCAATGCTCTTCCGGATCTTGTTAAATGATAACCACTAGTTTGCTCAGGAATATCTCTAAGTCTTCCACTAAAACATGCCAATTGTTATTATCCTCTATTTACTTTTCTTTTTCCGTATTTACATTTTAATACGTAAACTCGGGGCTGAGACATTCCCAAGGTCTAGTCTCATTTTAGGAGGGATCAGTCCCTGGAGAAGGACATCATGCTTGAAAAAGAGGAAGACCCTCAACGAGATGGATTGACACAGTAGCTACAACTATGGGCTCAACCATAACAACGATTGTGCAGATGGCACAGGACCAGGCAGTGTTTCGTTGTGCATGGGGTCACTAGGAGTTGGAACCAACTCCACGGCACCTAACAACAGCAGTCTCGTTTTAGAGAATGCAGTAGGTGCAAGAAGTAGCAGTTGACAAATCCCGGATTCCAGGGAGAATGTATGTTCACTATAATTACCACACCACTAGATTCTGTGATGGAGGGATTTAAGCCCTCAGGAAATTTGGGGCCTGGAATCTGTTAACTATTGAAACAAACAATGTTATGTTTAAGTTAATAGTCTAGTAGACCTTTTGTTCACAGACCACAGAGGAGATACGAGACGTGAGAAAGTCCGAGGAAGGTAGGTTGACCCCAAGAATGAACTGAGCCTCTACCCATACAATGGAATATTGTTTACCCATCAAAAGGAGTAAAGTTCTACTGATGCGGCTACTGCATGGATGAGCCTTGAAAACACTGTGCTAAATGAAAGAAGCCAGATTCAAAAGACCACGCATTGTATGGTCCCACTTATACAAAATGTTCAGAATAGGCAAATCGACGTTGTGTTGCTGTTAGGTGCCATCCAGTCCATTCTGACTCATAGCGACCCTATGCTCAACGGAACGAAACACTGCCCGGTCATCATTGTTGCTATGCTGGAGCCCATTGTTGCAGCCGCTGTGTCAGTCCATCTTGCTGAGGGTCTTCCTCTTTTTCACTGACCCTCTACTTTACCAGCATGATGTCCTTCTCCAGGGACGGATCCCTCCTGACAACACGTCCAAAGTATGTGAGACATAGTCTCGCCATCCTTGTTTGTAAGGAGCTTTCTGGCTGTACTTCTTCCAAGACAGATCTGTTCGTTCTTTTAGCAGTCCATCGTATATTCAGTATTCTTCGCCAACACCACAATTCAAAGGCGTCAGTTCTTCTTCGGTCTTCCTCACTCATCATCCAGCTTTCACATGCAAATCTACAGAGACAGAAAATAGATGAGTTTTCCTGGGGCTGATGGTGGGAATGGATATGAGGGGTCTTTTGGGCATGATGGAATGTTCCAAATTTGGAGTGTAGTGATGGTTGCACAACTCTGTAAATTTACTAAAATTATTGAATTTGCACTTCAAATGAGTGAATTTTGTGGTATGTAAATTATACCTCAGTGGGTCACTGTGAGTCGGAATCAACTCGATGGCAATGGGTTTGGTTTTTTGGTTTAAGCTGTTTAAGATTTTGAACTAAAAGACAAAAGAAATTATGAACAGTACGGTTTCATTTTTGAAATAGGAACTAATGTGTGTTTATACCTGCTCAAGTGGGTTATTTAATTCTCCGCGGGTGAAAGGATTATGGGTGATTTTCTCCTGCTTTGTTGTATTACGTGATTTTCAAAAAGCACTTAGCAGTCATTATGTCACTATCAGAGAAAAAACAATGCACTGTTTTATTGGTGAGGCAGCAGAGCATGGTAATTAAATGTCTAGTCGACTTTGCATTTTGTCCATGGTTGTTGTTGTTCTTGCTCATTGAGGTCAAATCGGCTCCAACTCATAGCAACCCAATGTATAACAGTATAACAGAACAAAATGTTGCCCAGTCCTGCGCCATCTTCATGATCGTTGGTATGTTTGTGTCTATTGCTGTGGCCACTGTTCCAATGAATCTCATTGAGGGTCTCCCTCTTTTTCTCTGACCCTCTACTTTACCAAGTATGATGTCCTTCTTCAGGGACTGGTCCCTCCTAATAACGTGTCCAAAGTACATCTCGCCATCCTTGCTTCTAAAGAGCATTCTGCCTGTACCTCTTCCAGGACAGACTTGTTCTTTCTTCTGGCAGTCCATGGTATATTCAATATTCTTCACCAGCACCACAATTCAAATGCATCAGTTCTTCTTCGATCTTCCTTATTCATTGTCCAGCCTTTGCATGCCTGTGAGGTGACTGACAATACCATGGGTTAGGTCAGGCGTACCTTAGTCCTCAAAGTGACATCTTTGCTTTTTAATACTTGAAAGAGGTCTTTTGCAGCAGATTTGCCCAATGTAATACTTTGATTTCTTGACTGCTGCTTCCATGGGCACTGATTGTGGATCCAAGAAGAATGAAATCCTCGACAACTTCACTGTCTGTCTGTGGAAAACTTTGGGCCCCATTCTCTGTGGTGCATGTGACCATATATATGAAGGGAGATACTATATGAGTCAAAATCTTCGGCTCCCTATGCCACATGTGGTGCTATCAGTCATCAAGTCTGAATAATGATATGGTGGACAACTGTGTGGGATTAATGCCCAAGCTCTGGTGGCAAAGCGGTTGAGTACTTGGCTGCTAACCAAAAGGTTGGTGGTTCGACTCTAGTGGCTCCGTGGGAGAAAGATCTGGCAATCTGCTTCAATAAAGATTACAGCCTAAGAAACCCTATGGGGCAGTTCTCCTCTGTCACATGGGGTCAGTATGAGTGGGGATTGACTCAATGGCACCCAACAACAGCGACTGGTAAAAGCAACAGAAATCCAGGGAGAAGGGAGACTGGCAAGGCCTGACGTATCTGATGGAGGAAGACCGAGCTATGTCCTGTAGCGGGACAGGATTCGAACAGGCACAAAGGCGCAAACAAGACATTCTGGGTCGTGGGAACAACGGGTGGCCAGCAGGGCGTTGGGAGTGAGCCCGTGGGTTGGGGGAGA